AGCCGGGCCGGGCCGGCCGCCGAACCTGGTCTTCGTGCTGGCCGACGACCTGGGCTGGAACGACGTGGGCTTCCACGGCTCACGCCTCCGCACGCCGCACCTGGACGCGCTGGCGGCCGGCGGGGTGCGGCTGGACAACTACTACACGCAGCCGCTGTGCACGCCGTCAAGGAGCCAGCTGCTCACCGGCCGCTACCAGGTGCGCGCCCGCCCGCCGCTTCTGCGCACGCGCGGTCCGGGGCCGCTCTCGCGGGGCTACGAGGGTCTGGGGCGCGCAGGCGCGGAAGGAGGGGCAGGGAGGGGTCGCTGCGCTCGGAGTCCTGGCCGCGGCCCTGTGGCGAAGGCCCGACCGCCTGCTGGGCTGAGCTCGCGCAGGTCCCCCGTCCTCATCTGCGGTTAAAGGTTCCCATTAAGGACCTCGCTGTCACCGGGAGAGGAAATACGCAGTAGAGAGCGCGCACCATTCCATGGCTAGGAATGGCTGAAACAGCTCCCTGGGGTATTGGGTTTATTTTTTTTTTTATTGGGATTTGGCCAGGCATGGCGGCGTAGGCTTGTAATTCCAGCACCCGGGAAAGCTGAGGCAGGAGGATCGCCGCGGAGTTCGAGATCAGCCTGGACTACATAGTTCAAGACCCTGTCTCTGACAAAACAAAACTAAACATCCGTTACCTGGGCTTGAACCCAAGGGTCCTCTGCCACTGAGCTACCTCACCAGGAACCCCTATCTCCTTTAGAATTTAAAAAAATTTTAAGACAGGATCTTGCTGAGTTGCCCTTGTTTTCCTCGAATTTGCGGTCCTCACGCCTCAGCCTCCGCAGTGCTGGAATTACAGACACGCTCCGGCTGAGGTAGTTACTTTAACCTCTTACGGGTGAGGAAATAGCTAGGGTAAGCAGGAGGACTTGAAGAATCACTCGGCTGGAAAGTGCTAATGCTGATCCTTGTTTTTCCTAGATCCACTTATAAAATTGGACTCTTCCCCCCTCAATCTGAAGGATTTTGCTCTGTTTATAACATGCTTCTTTGACTATGACCTTATTAAATACAGTCATTTGTGCTGCTGCTGTTGCTATTCTATGTGTGTGTGTGCGTGGGTGTGCTCGCTGTTTCAAGCGCCCTGTGCCAGTCGGGACGCCCCTAAAGCCTGCCTCCCTGGCATGTGTTTATGTGGCCTTTCAAATCAAGGGTCTGCTGACTTCATAGAGGCAAGGTAGCTTTTTGCTAAGACTGAGAAGCAGCTGTAGCCAGGGCTTGCGCTGGAGATGAGCCGGGTTCCCGCCCATCAGCGGCGTGAGCTTCCCGCCTTCCCGCCGCAGTCGGACTGGATTCGCACCCACCCGCTGGCGGAAAGGCTGTGGGAGCTGCGCGGGGACCGAGGAACGGGAGGGAACCCGTCCGGGCCCTGTGTGCGCTGTGGTGGTCAAGAGAGCTGAACTCAACTCTGCAAAAGAATGGAAGGCAGTTCCTGCTCCGGCTTCCTCCAGCACCGCACAGGAAAGCACGGCCTCGAGCTTCAGCTACTCGTCATAGAACTGGCTGAAGCCCCAGTAGGCAGGCTGGGAGAGTCCTTGAGCATTCCTGTAGAGGAGCCTGCGGGCAAGAACCGAAGAAGGCTTGACGCTGGGTGCTCCAGAACCGCTAGAGACCTGCCGGTGCAGCGGGCTCGGCCAGGCTGGCCCGGCCGTTCTTCTTGTCCTGTTTTCACCCGTATTGTTCTGAGAGATCGTTGGGGCCCACAAGCCTCTTTGCCTGCAGATACCGTCCATTGTCCTGGGCCATTTATAAGCTTGAACTCAGCTAATTCTTCCAACAGTCCTGGGAAGTAGCTACTACTATTAGCATCTCTATTTCATACCAAGGAAACCAAGGCCAGAAAATGTTAAACTTTCCCAAGGTCTCAGGGCAAGTGACCCAGGAACTAAGCAGCATATTCCAGAGTTGGTATGTACAACTGTTAGGCCCTATGGCCTACACAGAATCACTAAAAATAGCATTGCTAAAATAGCTTCGTGTTTACTACAAAGTCCCCTTGTCTGGACATTTAGGTCATTCCTAAACATCTCAATTTAAAAAATTAACCTCTTGTAAGTGAAATTGCCTACTTTAAATGTAAAATAGAAATACATTTTACTTCTGAGTTATTTGTATATCATTTGATGCCTTGAAATGAGAAAATGTGTTGGTTGTTTCAGAATTAAGTGCTTGAAATAACTGCTTACAAGTCACGTCTGTGAACTTGGTGATCGTGTTCCAGATTAATCTTTAGGGGAGCCTTTCCCATGACTGTCCTTAGAAAAGTGGCAAAACTAGGTTGGTTGGTGGAGGTTTGTGCTCCTGTGAAATCCCAAGTGTTAGTTTTCTGACTTGGAGAAATCTGAAATAAAGAGCGCAGGTTAGGGATGATGAGATACAGGTGTCGGTCTTGACTGCATTGATCTCTAACTGCACTGGACATCATTTCCATGTAAACATAGGAGTTGGGCCCTTATCATACAGAGGACATATAATATCACATATAGCAATAATATGTAATCAATACGAAAATTGGGTTAATCTCTAGGCTCTTTGTAGCTCTACATTATTTTGACTCTTAGACTCTTGTTTCCTTAGGGTAACTTTGTATGTAATTTAGCAGATGCTAGATGTCACACCTGTGAACCTGTGGAGAGTAGTCAGACCCTGCCCCGTGTGCCTTGAACTTGTGTGTGCTGTTTGTTTTGCTGCTAGGAATTTACTGAAACAGGAAAGTGAGTTCAGGTTTAAGATGTTTAATTATTAAAAATCCTCCAAGTGAGCCTTTTTCAACCTTAGTGCTTTGGTGAAAAGTGCACAAAGCCTGAGTGTGGTGGGCAGCGATGGAGTGGATGGGCAGATGAGGCAGCAGCTCCTGTAACTCCTGGAGCCAGGTCCGTCCACCCTCTGCTAGTGTTCTTCCTGAGGACCTGGGACCCATTCATTCCTTATTTTACAGACTTGTTTTACTTATTTTTAACATAGAACACACACACATACTGTTACCTAGGCACCCAGTGTCCATCTTTGGTAGGCACACAGTGCTCTGAATTGTGTATATCCATCCAAAAGTCCTTTATGCTTACACTTACAAATACCTATCTGGGTATTCTGCTCTTGTCTTTTTATATGAATGTTAACAACCTCTTTGCACTGTTTTGCACTGGTGTTTTTTGTTTTGTTTTTGGCTTAGCATTTGAGGTCACTATATTATTAAGTAAAAAGCACTCGTTAATTTTTATGGTTGTGTAGTATTAATAAATCATGATTTATTTAGTCACATAATAATGGAAATATAGGTGGTTTACAGTCTTGATATGTCACAGAAAGTGAAGTCAATACATTGTGCATATGCATTTTGCACATATTTGGACATATTTGTAGGATGCATTTCTAGAAAAGGAATTTTCTGGGTTTAAGAGTAGGCAGCATTTGTAATTTTGATAAATATTGTGAAATTCAACTTCGTGAGATTGTATCAATGAACATTCCTACCAGCAATCTATGATAGTCATTTAAAAGTTAATGGTTCATACGCTGTAAAATTCACCATCTTAAAGTATAGGGTACTAGGTTTTTCATACATTCACAAGGCCATGCAAACAATAATTTCATCATCCCCGATAGGAACTGTAATCATTAGCAGTTACTACCCATTTCCCCATTCCACTGGGCCGTGGGAATCACTAACCTGTTTTCTATCTTTTCAGATTTGCCTATTTTGGACATTTCTTTTAAAAAGAATCATACTGCAGATGTCCTTTCATATATATCATGACACATTCTTTCCTCATTCGTGGCTTATTGTATGGATGTAATATATTTATGCATTCATTGGTTGATGGACATTAGGTTGTTTTTAGCTATTATGAATGATGCTGCTGTATCCATGTACAAATTTTTGTCTGAAAGTGTTTTCTCAGTTCTCTTAGGTTAATATGCAGGCGTAGAATGCTGGGTCATATGGCAACTCTAGTGTTTAGCTTTTCAAGACACCACCAAACTTCTACAGCAGCTACATCAGTTTACATTTCCACTGGCATTGTAATGTGGGTTTCAGTTTCTCTGCATTTTGCCAGTACTTGTTATTTTCTGTTTTTTATTATACCTTCTGGTCTTCCTAGTGAAAATGAAGTGTTTCCTGATGACAGGGGATGTTGAGCTTTCTTGATAATAACTTGATGATAACTTGTTGCTTTCTTGATAGTGTCCTTTGATACACAGTGTAAGGTTTACATATTGATGTGGTATAATTTATTCTTTTGATTTTTGGTTGCTTGTGCTTTTGGTGTCATATCTAAGAAATGTTTAAAAGTTGAAAGGTTTGTCTGTGTTTTCTTCCAGGAGTTTTACAGTTTCAGGTTTTATACTTAGGTCTTTGATCCATTTTGAGCTTGTTTTTGTGTATGATTTGAGGCACATGGATTTGTGTGGATGTGTGTTTGTTCCAATACTGCTTGCTGAAAAGACTATTCTTTCCTCATTGAATGCTCTTTGCATCTTTGTGAAGAATCAGTTGACCATAGATACAGTGGTCTGTTTGTGGACTCAGAACTGTGTTCCATTGATTTGTATATACTGTACGTCTGTCATCTGCCAGTACCACAGTATCTTCACTACTGTAACTTTATACTTACAAAATATGCGCACACACACATGCATGCACACACATGCACACACACACATGCAATCAGACCTACTAAGTTCAACACAGTTACAGAATGATCAACATACATATATCACTTGCAGTTTTGTTGAGTTGTAAGAGTTCTTTATGTACTTTGGATGCTAACCCTTAAAGATATACACGATTTTAAATATTGTCTTCCATTTTATAGATTGCTTTCTTGATAGTGTTTCAAAATTAGAAAATGTAAATCTTCCAGTTTTGTTCTTTTTAAGATTGATTTGGCTGTCCTTGGCCTCTTGCTTTTTCACATGAAGTTTTAGGATTGGCTTTTCCATTTCTGCACAAAAGGCAAGTGGAATTTTGGTAGGGGTTGTATTGATCTGTAGATCCATTTGAAAGTATTACAGCCTTAAATGTGTGTCTTCCAACACTTGAACATGTTATATCTTTCTGTTTATTTAGGTCTTCTTCAATTTTTTCAGCAATAGTTTGTAGTTTTAAGCATATAAATTTTGCACTTCATTGGTTAAATTTATTTCTAAGTATTATTCTT